ACATCTTTGACCAGTAATGAAAACAAAAGCTGAAATGAGACAGCAGGGCATTATACTTTAGAGCAAATGTTAATCAAACTGTGGTAAATAGAACATTTGTTTGGGACTACTTTATTTTACAGACCAGGGTGTAAGACATAGACACAATAAACGACAGCGCCCAAGTTAAAGGTATTGAAGGAACATGTCAATAAGTGCATGACTGGTTTATGTTTTTGGTAGAATACCATTATAGCTGCTTGTTGGTCTTTATTTGTATTACTGCTTTGATCTTAGCGAGACAGGAAAGGCAGGGGATGACACGTCTCCACCCGTTCAGCTTCTACAGCGTCCAGATCTTTTGTCTACAAAAGCATAGACTTGTCCTTTGCTAAGAGCCCAGCTGCTTTAGGACAATCGAGGTACTAGAAAAAAACGTATATATGTGTGATGTGTATTTCAATAATTACGTCCAGGGCTGAGCATGCTTGTGGCCAAAGGCTGGCTAGTATATAGGAAAGTCTCGTCAGAACCAAACGTGAGTTGGTCCAACTCACGTTTGGTTCGGGGATTTCCCTGGGTTTTAATGACAACACAAAAGTCAAAACACCAGCCTTGCAAATGCACATTATAACACACATTCTCCTATGAAAACCTATGAACTCTTGCATCCTCTATTTGTCCTAGATATCAGGATCTGCTCTGAAAGAGACATTTAATTTCTGTGTGAGTGTGTGCGTGAGTACGCCCTCCCTCCCTTTGAAACAAATCCACCAAATGTTAAAGCTGACGTGGGGTGACAGTTGCCCAGTAGTGCTGAGGGGAGTAATTCAATAATGGATGCCGTCTCTAATGTGGGAGTCTGGATGGATAAAATATACATGGTAGAGGAGGGGAGGCAGCAGGAGGAGGAGGGGGGGGGGCGATGATATCATTGAAACACAGTGGGGGGTCACAGACAGGGATGGGCAGCATGATATCATATGGATGACATGGTGTCATTTTAGTGTGAGGTCTCTCTCTCTTCCGAGGCTTATTTAACCTCTCAGGATTTCAGTATCTGGTGACCTTTTTGTCCTTCAGGTCACTCTATTCTCACTCTGCTATAAACGTCCATTCGTTACGCGCAGAGTGTAAGACTCCAGCTCCACCCACAGGAGGATGTGTGCAGGAAAATCCAGCAGAGAGGGGGGGCCGACAGAGCTGACCGTGAGCCCACAGCTCCGGTGTCTCCTTCATCACGTCATGCAGTGACATCTGCTGCTCGGAGGTCAGGGTTCAAGGAGCAAAACACACTCGGTGTCAGCAGTCAGAGACACACACACACGCTTACAGCACACCAGATTACTGACCGCACACACAGAAGCATGCGCCCCAACTAAGGCAGTACATAGTTATAACACATGGACACACACACACATTAAATACCCTATGCATGTTTAGGCTGCCATCCTCAGGCCAATGCTGCCAGACACAACCTCTGCAGAGTAACATGCACGCAGAATATTAAACAGACAACTACACACAGTAATAAAATCAATGTTGGATAAAACGTCAGCTCACTACAGGGAAGGAAATCCATGCTTCACATTTACAACTTCCTGAGCGGCTTGCACATTAACAGCTTATGAATAGATATAAGAGAGTTATGATTCCTATTCTGCTCACTAAGACGCCAAGTGAAACGGGATGAAAAGTATTGGTCTGGACTACAGCAATTTCATGAACACTTGAAGAACTTCCACACTCAAAGTGATGATGGCAAAGTGGAATCATTTTGTGGAAAAGTACACCCCCCTCTATGTTCAAAGGCAATTTCAGACAGCCTTTTCATCCGACATAAGACACTTTTCTAAATTCTGCCTGAGTTGCGAAGTGCCTTTAGCGGCAGCCGCCAGCTACTTTCTGACTTTAAGAGTAGATGAGGAAATCCACTGCAATAGATGATATTGTCAAGAAGTGAACAGTAATTAAGATTTAGCAAATGAAACACTTCCAGAGACAAAAGCCTCAGATTTTGAATAAAACATTTATTTGGAGTAAAAAGTGACAAACGCACTGAGCAAGGAAAAGAAAGAGTGGTGAGTTTCATTTCAGCACCACGGACAGCGATTCACATTCTCACATACATTCAAACCTTTATTTATCCAGGTGTATCCCATTGAGATCATTGATCTCTTTTTCAAGGGAGACCTCCTCGAGTAGGTTCCACATGGAACATAAAAAAACATAAACAGAACAACAAAAAGACATCTTACAGCATCATTACAGGGATTACAATTTACATAACTATCCACATGAACAGGTACCAACAGCTTCCGATTGAGTAGCATCCAACCGAGCTTTAATTACATTACATTACATTTAGAGAATCAGCTGCATTTAAAGATAGCCTGTGCTCAGTTTGTCTGCTCAAATGTCACCATTTGCTTCTTTGGTGTAACAGTTTAACATGGCTGTGCCACAAATTAAGACACTTTAAATCAGTTTTGTCAAACCTCTCAGGATCATTCGAACACACTGTTTTCCAAATGGCCCAGAAAGTGTCTCCAGAGGTTTCTAATTCAGTCGCATCTCTGTGGAAACACCAACTGGACTTCTCTTTCTCCAGGAAGCTAATCTTGCTTTACGAAGCTTCCTGTTTAAATCTGGCGTCACTGTTGACATTCTGAAGGAATTTCCATTAAACATTTAATTCAATAGAGATGATGAGAACTGAAATAAGAAATGACTCTTCCTCCTTCTCACTGCTCAGAATTATAATGCTTTTATCTACAAAATAACACTTTTAAACAATGGACTACAAGTTAAAGGGGACCTATTATGCAAAATGCACTGTGATGTCTTTTATACATAAATATGTGTCCCCGGTGCGTCGGGGAACTCACGCAGCGTCAGAAATTAAAACCCTTTCTCTTTTCCTCTGTACCCAAATCTTTTAAAAACGGGGGTACAACGATCGGATACAGATTTCCATCCGCTGTGACGTGTCCATCCGCTGTGACGTCGGCAGACCCACAGAAAGTTGCTATCAGAAACAATGTCTGACGTGTTTTGGATGTAATCTCGTCTTTGTTTACATTAGCAAGCCTCGCTAACACTCAGAGCTAACCTGTACTAGAGAGCACCTGTGTTTAAAAAGCAGGAAATAAAAAAAGGAACTCACCTTGTGATAAACCCGCAAGAGAAAAAGCATTTGAGCTCCATACTGTTTCAGAAATAATCCTTGATGTGGTTTAAACAGGATGGCGTTTTATCTCAGCAGAATGTAACTTTATCTCCGGTAGAATTCTGATCAGGCATTAGCTCCGCCTCCTCTTTTTTTTTTTTTCAAGCCAAGGACCCAAAATCCGCCTTTCTCTAACAGGGCAGCAAAAGAGGGATTGGAGCAGTATGAGGCATGGCTACAATGGGTGATCTGTTTGGTATTTTGAAAAAAAAACTTCACAGACATGTTTTGTATAGGTATGGCCCTACAAAATATTTTTCAAATATAGCATAATAGGTCCACTTTAAGCCCTGTTTTTGTTGGCAAATATTGGTTTTAAGTTTGTTAAAAGTATGCTGATTGAGCTACTTGCAGTTCCTCTCTTCAATGTATCCGTTTGTACAGACAACAATACTAAATGCTTTGATAGTGAAGAAAGTTTCAGAGACATAAGGAGCGTCTTCTTCTCTCAATTTATAAAAATGTAATGAGCAAAATGAGCAAAAACTCCAATAGCGGTGGAAAAGTCTGATTACTAAAGGGAATCTTCTACTCTTCTTTAAAAAGGATTAAAGAGATTCATTAACTACATGTTGGGGTGCGCTACTGGCTCAAATATAACTTGTTGTCAATGAGAGCACAGGATGAATTTGGAAATTGGAAATGTTTCTATTTCAGATTCCTGAAAGCTAACATTTGCTTTTAGTTATTGTAATGTCCATGTTTTGTGTCTGTAGCCTGTACAATACATTTATTAAAAAAAAAACATTTTTAAAAAGCTAACATTTGCTTCAACTAAAGAAATCCTTTTGACACGGTAGAAATGCTGTCAGTCACATTGTGTGTCTCATGTATAGTTCTTATTCCTGCATTTTACTCACACCATTAGGTCTCTCGCACTATTGAATTGGACTGTATTAGCTCTTTATTCATTATCATGTTTTAAGTATAGTTTGTTGTATAATTGGTAGAGTTTTGAGCTTAAGATCGTCATTGCCAAAAACTACACAAAGAATAAAGCCATTAAATGTTTAATCCAAAAAAAAGGATCTCTAATGCCAGTACCAGATTACAGCAACTGCTTATCCGTTCAATGTACATACACGCATGTGGTTATTGTATTGTGACATCTTTGATCAACTATAATTGTCATAATGTATGCACAGTCAGTGATACACTTTCTGCTCTCTTGTTGTTGGCTTAACTCATTTGTCTAACACATCATGTACTCATCATGTACTGCTTTATTCTCCCTCCTCAACCTCAGCCTTCTCACGCCCCCGCAGGTTGTTGAGGTCAGAGCACAGCTCTCCTGCTGCTGAACGTTCATCGCACGGCTCACTGGTGCAACAGATTGGGCCGACAGAGACGCTCTGAGAGGAAAAGGGCTCACGCAGAGCGGGAACATGCTGCAGTCTGAAGGCAAAATACCATCGTTTCTCCACCACTTCCTTTAACAGAGCTGACCGATTCAGTGCTGAAAGATGGTTTTCCTTCTTGCTTTAGTGTTTGTCTTTCAGCTCAGAAAGTATGTAGCCATACCATGTAGAAAAAGCAGTAAACCAAAAATGTGTCCTGTATGGTATTTTATCGCACCTTTAAGTGTATTTAAATATAAAAATCCATATATGTGGATATTGTCTTTTCAGAGAATTAACTATATTTCCATCATTTCTCTTTGGAAAATAATTCTATGAAGTCCACATCATTTCAGAAAGTCCAAGTAAACTCAAAGATAAGGGACAGTATCTCAATACATATATCTATCCAGAGATACGTAAAGAAAAATAAGCTTGTGTAAATTCAAACTTACCTGCTACTTTTCCTTGGCAGAGGTAGATCCTTCTGGTGAGAAAGAGAAAGGAGGAGAGAAGAGAAGAGGGGGAAGAACAGATGAATTAGCCTCACTACAAGAGTGAAATACATGATATCACTTTTTATAATAATAATATTGGGAGGGATGAAACCCTCTTGAATGGTCACACATGCAGACCACACAGCACACACAGTGAAATGCGTTCTCCGCTTTTAGCCCATCCAAGTACCAGGAGTCTAGTACTAGGAGCAGTGGGCAGCTATTGCACAGCGCCCGGGGAGCAATGTCCAATCCCCTACTGACTGAGCCACTGCCGGACATATATACAGTGGGAAATAATGGTTAAATGTTCTGTAGGTGCTGTTAGAAATTATGAATTGGCATAATAATAATAATATTGGTTAATACTGAAACAAATGAACTTATTAGATTCACATGCCTGATAAATTATCTGAAGAAGAACAGGAAATGTTTTTGCTTCTAAACAATCTTTTAATTTCATATGCGTTTTCTATTTTTAACTCATCATATTTCTCACTGATGTTGTTTTTATGCTTTCACATCACTTTGTTGTCTTTTAGCATACAGATAGGTTGTGCATAAATCCAATTCGTTCAAGGTCACACATTGTACTGATACACTCTACACATCTGCGTAGGCTTAGCATAAATAGGTTTCTTGAGTTATTACGGAGGAAATATATTCAAGAAGCAACAGATTATTTTTTGGAAAGCTTTATGAAAAAGCAACAAAACATCAGATCGTATAATTGAGATGAAACCCAGAGGATGACAGGTATTACTAGGCTGTACTATTTCTTTAACAGTTGTCTTTAACAAGTGGTAAGATATTTGTTTTGCTTATATGACCCTTAAAATAAAGCCATATTCACTTGTGCCCCCTTTACACAGATTAGGTCTTATTGTGGACATCATTGGGAGTTTTCCTTAGCACACTATTTCAAAAGAAGAAGCAAACGGCATGTTTTAAAACACTAGCAAATGTTTTAAAATTAAATAGTACCGTAGTTCATGCTGGGATACAGCTATAGCTAGTTTTGTGATTCCTTTGTCTCATGCAAGTGAAACACAGTTTGAAAACTGATCCCTGCTAAGTGCTCAGAGAGGAATCAGCAGGTTGAGTGGAGCCAAAGTCAATTTAAAACATGTTGCTGCTATATTTATGACATCGGGACAACAGCAAGGACTCTGATGGGATTAGGATCTACTGGGAGGAATCTGTGTGGCGCTTGTTGCCCATCTATTCCCAATTTGATTCCACTTAACACTCGACTAAGGTAAGATCGGGTTGCCATCAGTTTCTTTTGTCAGCCTCTACTGCACTATTTATAGAGCTATTTTCTGCAGCCGAGTGTCTCTGCTCAAATAGCTATCATTATTTGTTTTGTTTGAGTCAGAGAAGGTTTAATGAATCAGAGGCGTGTGAGGAAAATGAAAGGAAGTGAGAAACCCCACCAGGGTCAGATAGGTTGATAATAAACCAGCTTGAGAGGAAAATAAGAGACTGTATTTGGTTTTCCGGTAGAACGAGAATGTCATCCTGTTAGACCTCCTGAAATGTGTCTCTCTCTCTCACAGTCTATCTCTTTGTCTTTGTATAAGTAAACAAGCATTACGAAAGCCAAACAAAGCCGAGCTGATGAAACATGACTTGACAGCTGGAGCTCTCGTCTCCAAACAATCTCAAAACAAACTCACAACCCAAACTCGCTGATTTACTTTCCAGCACTTAGGCATTAGATCTGGCACTTAATGCAAACCTATTGGGAGCCAGCAAGCAGAAGAAAAGACTGCAAGACACATTGTTATGCATCAGAAACACTTTTATAAAAGGCTTGTTGAAGAAATCTCTACCACAATCTTGACAACAAGGTCAGTATAAGCAGCAGTAAACAGATGAACAAAGAGACATGACAAATGCTACTTTGCACTGACTACTTAAATAAAATGGTCTATATTGTAGGAAATATGCTTATTCCCTTTCTCTTGGTGAGAGTTAGATGAAAAGATATGTACCACTCTCGTGTATTTAGTATGGAGCTCAAACCAGGAGCCGATAGCTTAACATAAAGATACAGTACGAAGCAAGAGAAACAGGTAGCCTTGCTCGAAATGTTCAAAAGGTTGCTTAAAGTGTTAGTGGATCTCATTTGTATAATCAAAACGTGACATTAAACCTTTATTTGTGTTTTTAGAGAGGTTAATAAGCTGCTCATTTTTCTTAATACATTTGGATTAAGTTGTTCTGTCCGCGTTGAAGTGTAGCTTATCTGCTGTTTGCCTTGCGATCTCAGTGTAAGCTAAAACAAATAAGACTACATAACTACCTATAAAACTACAAAATTGTTGTTTGTGGACAGACTAAACCTACAAATATAATGTTTTAATAACTTAGCTTTAGAGGTGTATTTTTGTATCTTTGGGGTGAAGGATAGCTGTTTTTGGCTGTCTGTCGCTTCATATTTAACATACAAACATGAGGTGAAATTGATCTTCTAATCCAAACCTCTTAAAGAGAGCACACTAACGTATTTCCCAATATATCCAATTAGTTATTTAAATGAAGAGAGTGATCACTTTTTCTTTTATGGGAGTGACATCACCCATAGGGAGCTCTTTCTGGGACGGAGCAAGTTACATCATCGAGAGGAAGTGAGCTCGGCCAGGGTTACTCCGCAGAGTGTGTGTGTGTGTGTGTGTGTGTGTGTGTGTGTGTGTGTGTGTGTGTGTGTGTGTGTGTGTGTGTGTGTGTGTGTGTGTGTGTGTGTGTGTGCGTGTGTGTGCGGTGAAAGGGATGGCTAATGGATAAAACCCAACACCTGCTCCCTCTCGTTCTCACTGTCCGACAGACGGCTACGTGTTGTTGCCATGTTACTGGTTACTCGAGCATTTCTATGAACAGTATTCTTCTTCGTTTCTCATGAGTGACCATGACAACCTATCAAAACTCTGAGTGATATCCACTTCACTTCAGCTACAGGCAAAGAAAATGAACCTTGCATATTACAACACCAAGGATAGACAGTATAACATTGGATTTGGATTGCAACAAAAGTACAAGGAAAGGCAGTCAAATCTCTAAAAAGGTACAATATTGTTTAATAGGACTGACTGTCATCTTTTTAATGGTGACGCAGCTGTACATCACCTTCACCAAGGAAGTCGCTTTTTAAGATGTTTGTCAGCAGGATTAAGAACAAATGACTGGCCCTAATGTTCCTGAAAACTTTGTGTAAGGATTTAGCATGGAGCAAAGAATAATCCAAATCATGGTGCGGATTAGTGTTACTTGACACAAGTCTGATTCGCTTCTCTCATGAGAATTCAAGTCCGGATTTAAGACTTCCATGAAACAATAAAGAACACAATCGGGCAACAAATCTGTGAACAGTTCCCTCATAAAACAAATGAATATTTAATTCTTCAGGCATTGTATTAATTTGTGTATACAATAATTTGTGGGCAGATACAGCTACACAGCCCCACAATAGTTCATTCAGAAGGCTATTTTGAAACATCTTTTGTAAATAACAAATATTGTGCCTCATGCAATTTGGATATTGTTCAAGTTCATGTTTAAATATGATATTCCATTTTAAGGCATTGATGAAAATGTCGGCCCTACATCAGTGTTGCTATAACCCCAAACTAAAGGGTTGTGTCTACATTTACATTTATATTCATACACTTCTATTTTATCAAAGAAAGCAATTGTCATAGTGGGCCATTTTAGAAAAATGATCCTGACATGAAAAAGACGGATAAGTGAAGCATATGAAGTATCAATAATGTAATTACATGATCAAAGAAAAGCCAAGGGTAGTAATATAACAGTAATCACAGGCCTGGATGATCATTATGTGTGATTGTTCACCATTAAAACACATTTAACGATTACACTTGAATGTCATGACGTGTCCCCACACTTCAACACACACAGCAAACCTCACACTAACTACACACTGCATCAATATCCGCCTGTGGGGAAATAGGTGGAAACAGCAGAAAGGTGTGATACTCCCCACACACACACACAAAGCATGCACACAGTCATTAATACTGGAAGTGTCATATTTCTGCTGTTTTACTGAAGGATCAATACGTTAAAATCGGACAAGAAGATGTGCTGATGGTAAAAAGTTGTTCTTCAAGTGACTGCAAATCATTCTCTTTCAGCCGCTATACAGTTCATTCTGAAAGGGACGTTCAAAAGTGAAGAGAAGGTGTCACATGATTTTGTTCGGTTTTTTTGTGCGTTATATTTACCCAAAGATAAAGCGAAGGCCAACTGGAAACCGAAGAAAAGAAGAATGTTAATATGCTGCTGCTCTGGGCTTCTGTTCTGTTTCTACTGCCAAAACTGACAGCAGATTGCGAGGCAAATGTCACGCTGTGTATTATTCAGTCTAATGGTTGTACTTAAAAGCTTTGAGATCAATGGTCATTACACTGAGATCTAAAAAATAATGTCTCATTGAAGGACATTTAACCTATTTCTCTTTCTTGCTACACCAGATCTAGTTTAGTCCTTAAATAAGTGCTTTTTCTTTCCTTACTTTTGTCCATTTGTGTGTGTTTTGGCAAATAAGTTGGGCTCAAGCTTTCGGCTTTAAAGATGTCTGGCACGATAATTCAGGCCCAGTTAGAGTAGTCCAAATATTTGAAGCTATTCCCAAATATATTCTGTCCCAGATCTGTTGCTTTGATCTACACTTTGCTGTCTCAGTTCAAAACCTAGCCTCGTTGAATAATACTGACATCAGAAGGACGTGGTGGGGCAGAACAAAGCGGTGGGCATGGCAGTGAGTGACAGGACTTGGCAAAGAGAGCCGGATCGTCTGCAGTGATCACACTCTTATCCCTTGTGCTTAGCATATTGGAAATGGGCACACTGCCCAGAACAAAATATTGGAAAAATGATGATAGTGTGTGTGCAGTGTGTGTGTGTGTGTGTGTGTGTGTGTGTGTGTGTGTGTGTGTGTGTGTGTGTGTGTGTGTGTGTGTGTGTG